ATACATACATATATATATATATATATATATATATACACACACACACACACACACACATACATATATATATATATATATACATACATACATACATACATACATACATATGTGTATGTGTTTTAAAATGTAACATTCTGGTGTACTCTGACAACTTTAAGCAAAAAAAACTAACTTATTATTCAGTTATTAATCAGTAGTTCAGCTCTAGTTGATCAGCTGGCTAGTTAGCTTCTTTTTTTTTTTTCAAATCAATATTATTAACCTTTAATTAGACAAAATCCATTGAGACCGAGGACTCCTTTTCAAAAGTTTTAGTCATATAAAAACACAGATAGCATGAGTAGAGAGAACCATTGCCTGTACAAAATAAAGTGATTCGTTTTCATTGAACCCTGTTACTGTATGGCTTAATATTAACTTCCACTGTTACTGTAAAGCTGTTAGAATTGTGGCCTATCGTCTATTTGCAATTAATATGCATTGGTGGAAAGAATGGGACATTTTGTACATTGTTCCACAACAGAAAAAAATGTCCCATTCTTTCCACCGACAGTAAATGCACCAGTTGCATTCACACATCACATTAGCGTATAGCGGTCAAAACCCTTTGCCCTTCCGGGGTCAAACACCTGACAACCACGGCGATTTCAGGACCTATATACCTGGGCCCAGGACATGAATACAGCGCCACCCAATGTACACACAGAGAAATACAGTATTTAAAAATTACAGTATTACAACACCATATTTGGCTCTAACATCTATTGAACAACATGAACCTGTGTGCAGTTGTATCTCACAGGAGAGACTTCTTTTTCTCATTATGCAAACACACGGGTGGTGCTGGTAAACACTGCATATTGATTGGTGTAGTGTTTCAGTGTAATCTACCTTTTAGTCTTGAAGTCCAGCGAGTCTGTGGAGTCTCGGTTCGAGTAGCACTCTCCAGTCTGCTCTGGGCTCAGCAGAGGCCTGTAGTCGTCCTCCATGATACCTCTGACTTTCAGCTAAAGCCTCTCAACACTCATCACCTGACTGGGAGCAAATATGTTGTAAAATCTAATCAGTGTCTGTCACAGAGCAACCATAAAACAATATTTGTGAAGTGCAGATGTTAACTGCAGTCAAATGTAGTTGACATTATACAGCTCTGTGTTGTTTCTGATTTGTGAATGTGTTGTTCTACCTTCCAGGTAGCCACTGGTTCCCACTCACTCCAGAATTCTGTGAAAATGATCCCGTAGAGACTTGGAAACTGGGTAATCCAGAAGTGTGAATATTATGTCTACTGGATTATCTGTCACAGGCAAGTTTTAAATCTCTGGAAGCAGTCAAAACCAGATTTGACCATATTAAAACAAACAAATTTCCCCCTGGGGATGAATAAAGTATCTATCTATCTTAACCTGCTTGCTGACCCGGGGATAAAAATGAGCTGCTGGGTCTGACCCGTTCCTCCTTGGAACATTACATGGCCCCAAGATTGCTGAAACTAATTCATTTAGAAATATGCACCATGCAAAATCAGCTGAAACTCGCCCTCAGAGGGGTGCCCACTAAGTTTTTTATTTGATGCTTTGGCAACATTGCTTCTTTTTTACTTTTATGCAAACAAAGCCACATTAATTGATTGCTTGAGATGCGAGAGATGAACCAAAACATCCTCTTGCCTTGCTATTCATTATTTGCCTGTTCATGGTGAGCAGCAGTAAGGCTTCACTCACACTAACCCAGAGACCATTTCTCTCCATCCCATGACTGGACTACAGTTAACTGTCATCTTTAGTATATTATTTAACAGGGCTCAACATTTTAAAAGTGGTTGCCAATATGGTTGTCATTTTTTGTCACAACACTATGCAGTTATACATCAGTTAATAAAGCAGTTTTGGGAGGCTACTTCCACCACGTCTCACACAGAAAACCATGACCTTTGAAACTCCAAACCATCTGTACTACTGTGGGAGATGGACATGGTTGGACAAATAGGGGTAGAATTAATTTTTGTCTGTTTTATGTGGAGATTTGCTGGTATTGTAATTAAAGCTGGTCCATATGCTTGCTCAGGAAAAGCAATTCAGTGCCCGACCATGATTCAAAGTACTGACTCAGCACTAAGCAAATGTCATGTATAAACCCGCAGCTGTAGTAACATGAGGTGGGGGGGGGGTACCGTAGCAGCTGACTCTGCATACACATATTCACAAACACGATAAAGCTTGTCCTCTTCCCGTCACATCACCAGCCACAGTCCAACAGTCAGCCGTACAGCTAGTGCCTCACTTTAGCAGTGACGTTAGATAACCTCACCTCACGCGCAGACGTCAAACCAGACGGCACGTGACCACACAGATAGATATTCTGTTGAATTCTTTGACTTAACGCTAGCATACTGTAAGAAACCAGCTGTTAGTGGTAGTGACAGAGATGTTAGAAGGTGGAACGTTAGTCTCACCGGACAGACACTTCCTGTCTGCTTTCTTCCCAATTTTAGTACCCAAAGTAGGTGAATGTTAGCCAGTCCCCCCACCCTACACACAGAGACACACAGATACTTTAGCATAGTTAGGTTAACGTTATAGCAGAAGTTCAAATCCGTACCAAGGTCTGCAGTGAAGTGCTCCTTCCTATTGTCTTCAGCTCATCTCAGGTTTTGCCGTGTCAGCGAATGTTACAACCAGCAAGTTGGTCTAACGTGGATTCAAAATTAAATAATAAATTAAATAGAACACACACAGCGGAGGGTGGTAAAGTAAGCTACTGTTCCAAAATAAGTTGTCGTAGTATGATAACTAACGTGTCCGCAGTCCGTATGAAGAGGTAGTGGAATGACAGAGGTTCTACTTCCAACTGATGAGGGACGAGCTGTGCTGTCTTCTTGTTATTACCGATGGTCTTCCTTTTCTTCTTCTTTCGCTCCTTCGTTTGGTGTTTCCTCTTCTTCTCGGGGTTTGCATAGAGCGTTAAACTGCACTACCGCCACCTGCTGAACTGAAGCGGAACGCGCGTGAGAGAAATCTCGTCATACAATAATGAATCTCACCGTTCCACAACTGAGATATGCGGCTTTCCTAAAAGGGAAAGCATTCCGTGTCACGATCAACGAATTTAAGGATTCAAGGATCATTTATTGTCATTATGCAACACAAGGATGCACAACGAGATTCAGCTGTAGCCCATTTGCAACACAACAATCACATGACATACAAAATAAAAACTTTGAATTTGTATCAGAAGGAATGTAAAAAACAGCAACAAAAACAATTCTCTGGGCAGATCATATGGCCGACCACTTTACATTAAAATTCAACAGGAAGAAAACATTGTCCATCAACTTTGACTGTTTGAGCACCAAGCATATTTAGCTTTACAAATCTATGAAAAGCAACATGAGGTGCCTATTTATGCACTCTCTGTATAAATGGTATTGATATTGTGAGCAATGGATGCACAGACAGAGCTGAAAATGTCTCTACAATTTCAGGAAAAGAACACAAACTCACATCTTACACGGCAGGCGTTGTTCCTTTAAGATTCTGCATCAAAAACCAAATTGGAGAAACACATCTGAAAATATTACACCAAATATATGTAATAAACATGTACAGTTCAATGTTTTCAAATATTGATAACAAATGTACTTTCTGCCAGACTGAACAAGAAAGCATAATTCAATCATTATTATTTTATTACATTTTTATTACATTTGGGCCTAAATATACTTCGAGATGTTTGTCTGAAGATAACTGTCACCAAATGTTTTAGTTTTGTCATTTGTATTTGTATTATTCAGTGTGGCTTTGTGGCACAAAGGCCTGTGCCAAAGCACACTGATTGTAATCCTGCGGGCTTAATAATAATAATAACTAGAAAATTCCTAAAGAAATTTTGACAGTGTGGCTTCTACTGCCCGAAGAAAGTTTTTGGGGCCAAAAAGCTTGGAAATGTTGTGCTGGTCGCAGTAAAGTGTCTGTGGAATCCAACGGACTTACACATTTGGCTCAAAGAGCCGCAGAGCGACATGAACTCCAACCAACTGCTCCATTAGACTCCATGTTAAATCTCACTACTAATTTCTCAAAGAAAGCAGACGGTACCAGTTTTGTATATTGCTCTGGAGCTCACATTATTAACACCACAAACATAAAAAACACATCAGCGCGTTTGCCAGTCTTATCTTTCTCACGGTATCCATATTTTATTGATTAGTCTCATAGTTTTGGTATAAAGGGCATATGTTTGACAGGTAGTTTTGTTGAAAATCACTGTTCGCTCTCTCTCTTAAGTAGCCTCTAACACACAGGTGCTCCAATCACCAACATGCACCCAAGCACACAAGTGTTTATATGAGCTCATTAGTGATGTTGATAAACACACAGAGGCACTGAGACACACACACACATACACTCCTCTCTCTCTCTCTCTCTCTCTCTCTCTCTCTCTCTCTCTCTCTCTCTCTCTCTCTCTCTCTCTCTCTCTCTCTGCTTCTCTCTCATAGAGTCATTCAGGTCTTGGAGACTTTTAGAGGACTCCCCCCCCCCATTTTAAAATAGAAGTTGCACACACATGATACGTGATGCAGCTCAGCCAATCAAATATGAGTATTCTGATAAGTTTCCTGATTCGAGTGACATTTACACACACCGCGACACAAGATGGAGAGACGAGGAAAGACATGGCAGAGCAGGACAATAGTTATGTAAGCTGTAAAAGATAAAACATAGGACAATCGCCAAATGAGAAAGATTGTCAGAGCTCTCTCTCTCTCAGGCATTGTTAGACCTCCTGTCTGCCTGTCTCTCACTCAGTCCATCTAACTGTCTGTCTGCCTGTCTCACTGTTCCACTCACTCAGTCCGTCTGTCTGCCTGTCTCTCTCTCCTACTCACTCAGTCCATTTAACTGTCTGTCTGCCTGTCTCACTCACTCACTCTGTCTCTCTCTCTATCATACAGTTGTCAATCAGGTCTTAGATATTTTTAGAGGACTTTTCCCCTCTC